CTGCAGGGTCATCCTGTTCCTAAACCTCCCTGCTCTGAGTTGCCCAGCAACGCTGGGCGAGGTCACACCCACCCAGCCCTGGGAGAGAACAGTCCGGGTCCGCCCAGAGCTTTGCAGAACAAAAGGGCGGACGTGTGAAAGAGTCATGCCGAAACCAGTTTGGCTCAGTGGATAGAACGTCAGCCTGCAGACTGAAGGGTCCTGGGTTCGATTCCGGTACCTTGGTTGCGGGCACATCCCCAGTAGGGGGTATGTAAGAGGCAGCTGATCGATGTTTCTAACTCTCTATCCCTCTCTCTCTTCCTCTCTGTAAAAAAATCAATAAAATATATTAAAAAAAAAAAAGAGAGTCATGCCATCTATAATAATAAAAGCATAATATGCTAATTAGAGCGGACATCCTCCCGGACTTCCTTCTGGACGTAGCTGGGACTGTGAGGGAAGCCTGGGTCCCAGGTGCCTGCCAGCAGCCAGAGGGAAGCCGGCAGCCGGGGGCAAGAGGGCCTACGCTTGCAGGAATTCCGTGCATCGGGCCTCTCGTCAAAAATGAAATCACACAGACTCCACAGAGGAAGCCACCCAGAGTGTGCAGATGTTCTGACCTGGGGTTTTGCCCGGCGAGTCCTTCGTGGGGAAATGAGTAGTAAACACAGGAGCTCCTCTTGCTTGGGGCCCTGGGACCTGCATGCCCGCTGCTCTGCCCTGGGGAAGAGCTGAGGGTGAGGGCAGTCTGCTCCCGGCAGACAGACAGCCTCAGCGTTGTTTACAACGGCCAAAGCCCAGCAACCGCCCAAGCGTCCATCCATCGATGAATGAACGGGGAAGAAAATGTGGTCTATCCACCCAACGGGACATCGTTTAGTTAAAGCGAATGCAATACGGATAGATGCTACTCCACAGGTGGGCCTTGATGACATTATGTGCCCAGGACAGTGTGGCACAGTGGGTTGGAGGGTTGTCCCGTACACCGAAAAAGGTTTTGGCTTCAGTCCTGAGTCAGGGCACATATTCAGAAGGGAAAGAGCTGTCTCTCTCTCTCTCTCTCTCTCTCTCTCTCTCTCTCTCTCTCTCTCCCCTCTTCCCTCCCTTTCCCTCTCTCCCTCTCAGAATAAACTCAGGCGAGGATATAAAAAATAAAAATAAAGACGTTATGCTAAGTGAAATAAGCCAGACACAAAAGGACAAATATTGCCTGATTCCACTTATATGGAAAAGAACAGGCAACTCCATAGACACAGAAAGTGGAATAGAGGTTGCCAGGGGCTGGAGGGAGGTGGGATTACTGCTGAATGGATAGAGTTTCTTGTTGTTGTTAATCCTCACCCGAGGATATTTTTCCCTTTTTTTTTGAGAGAGTGGGAGGGGAAGAGACATAGAGAGAAGAGAAAGAATCGAGTGAGAGAGACATGTTGATTGGTTGTCTCCCACATGAACCCCCAACCAGGATTGGGGATCGTGTCTGCAACTGAAGTACGTGCCCTTTGCCTGGAATCGAACCTGGGACCCTTCAGTCCACAGGCCGACGCTCTATCCATAAGGCAAAGCGTTTCTTTTTGGAATGGTGAGAAAGTTCTGGCAATACTGGCCGTAGTTAGACAACAATGCCACTGGATTGTACACTCAGAAATGCCAACGTGGTACGTTTTAGGTTATTATGCTTTACTATGGTAAATAAACAAACAAAGAAAAGAAAACAGTGGAAAACCAATAGCACAAACCTCCGGCACTCCTGTCCCAGAAAGGGAAGGGACATGCCGTTCCCCAAGGAAGCAGGACTGAGAGGAGCAGCCAAGATCTCTGCTCCCTGGGGGACCAGACCCAGGAATGCCTCTCTGCTGCCCGCTGCCTGCCATGATCCAGACTCCCGCAGGCCTGCACACACCGAGCGGGACACCTGCCTCCAGGGTGCACGCTCATCTCCCCCACTCTTTTTAAAAAAAATATTTTATTGATTTTTTACAGAGAGGAAGGGAGAGAGATAGAAACATCGATGAGAGTCATCGATCAGCTGACTCTTGCACGCCCCCTACTGGGGATGTGCCCGCAACCCAGGTATATGCCCTTGACCGGAATCGAACCCGGGACCCTTCAGTCCGCAGGCCGATGCTCTATCTACTGAGCCAAACCGGTTTTGGCTCCCCTCCCCCCTTGGAGGCAGCAGAAGGGGTCTTCCTGTCCCAGCAGAATCTGCCCACCCCACATGCTTCCACACAGCGTGCCAGTGTGTGAATCCCATGTACAATACATCTCAGACAACACAGACATGGGCAAGGGGCAGGCCAGGCCCTTTCCCAAAGCCACGATAGCACGCCCCTCCCCCCAAACTTTCCTTAAATAAGCCCATTCTTTGTAAAATTATATATTTTATTGATTTTTTTACAGAGAGGAAGAGAGAGGGAGAGAGAGTTAGAAACATCGATGAGAGGGAAACATCGACCACCTGCCTCCTGCACATCCCCTACCAGGGATGTGCCTGCAACCAAGGTACATGCCCTTGACCGGAATTGAACCCGGGACCCTTCAGTCCGCAGGCCAACACTCTATCCGATGAACCAAACTGGTTTCGGTGAAATAAGTCAAGGGCACATGCCCTGGGTTGCAGGTTTGATCCCCAGTAGGGGGTGAGCAGGAGGCAGCCGATCGATGGTTCTCTCTCATCATTGATGTTTCTATCTCCCTCCCCCTTGCTCTCTGAAATCAATAAAAATATATTTAAAAAAAAATCTAATCTAAGATGCCCATAAAAAGTTCCACAAAGAACACTTTAAAAAACCTGGTTCCTAGACTGGTTTCATGGGTCCAGCACTACACCTGACAAGCTCAAGGGAGGCCTGCACGGGCGGGCCTTACAAACTCAGAGACCGAAAGTAACCACGCAGGATGGTCCGAACAGAAAAATTCCCAACTGAAAGTGAGTCCGATCTTTATCTTGAGCAAGCCTGTCCACATTGGCTTTGTTTTTTTTGCCTTTAAGGTAACATACCTTTGAAGATTAGTTTAAGAAGATTACTCTTTACGAGGCCCCTCAGGGCACAAGACCGGAAGCCCTCATCTGTTATTTTGTTTCCCATACACCATCTCTAAGTGCTGTAAATATTAGTTATAGCTGTGCTGTAACCTCCAAGAGCTGAGTGTCTCTCCGGTTTACTTTTAAAAAAGTAGTTTATTGATTTTGAGAGAGAGAGAGAGAGAGAGAGAGAGAGAGAGAGAGAAACATCGATGTGAGAGTGTAACATTGATAGGCTGCCTCCTTCACATCCCCTACTGGGGACAGAGCCAGCAACCTGGGCATGTGCCCTTGACCAGGAGTCCGACCTCCCTGTGCATAGGACGACCCCCAGCCGACTGAGCCACACTGGCAGGGGCTCCCGTTTACTTTCTATTTAATCCCAGAGATTTCCCGCCCCCTGTTTTGCTTCCTCTGGCCCCCTGAACCCTCCCAACGGCCCCTCACGGGGAGCGTTTTCTCAAGCCAGTGAGATGTTGCTTCCGGGCAATTGGCAGTTTGGCTCAAAAAAAAAAAAAAAAAAAAAAAAACCTCATAAAAATTCTCTACAGGTTTGGACGCTTCTTATAACAACATAAACCAGGCCAAATTTAATGACACGACTTATTTTGAAAAAAAGAATAATCACTCTGATCATCTTATTTAAAAAACAAACAAACAAACAAAAAACAACTCTGGCTATCTTTGATCAAAAAGGAGAAAGTGACTGTAGAGATAAATTTCTCAACGGAGAAAAAAATGCACCCTGAGGAGACCAGTCCTGTTCACTGTCTTCGAGATTTTATCACCTACAGAGGAGGGACATGGGTCTGCCATCTTATACACATTGTCAGCCTTTACCAAGTCATTTAAAAAAAAAATCTATCTATCTATCTATCTATCTATCTATCTATATTATTGAGTTTTTACAGAGAAGAAGGGAGAGGGATAGAGAGCTACAAACAACCAGCTGTACATGCCCTTGACTGGAATCGAACCTGGGACCTTTCAGTCTACAAGCTGCCGCTGTATCCACTGAGCCAAACCAGCCACGGCTGATACATGTTTCTTGTAATGATGTTTCTCTCCCTTTCTCACCTTCCTCTCTCTCTAAAATAAATACATTGTTTTTTACATGCTGGATTGCTTGCACCATCTAGCAAATATTCTCTATTACCAAGTCCCAACAGATGGTTCAGCTGTTCCTTAAGGAACAAAAGATAAGCAAACAGGCAATGGACCTTCATTCTTCTCTCCTTCAAGGAGAACAGGATTTGATAAGGTCTCTCTCCTTGACCAAATCCTCCCTGAGCCTTCTCCTCAACTAGGCCTCAACCTTGGCCTATAAAGACTTGAACAAACACTAACACAGTTTCTAACAGCTCAAGGCTGCCCCCATCCATCCCCAGGAGGACCCCATCCCTCCCTTAAGGTGTCTGCCTGTTCCAGCCAATAACCGAGGACACACCCGTCTCCCTGCCTCGGTGGGAGGGCAGGAACCTAACGTCCCTAAGTGCCAGTGAGCAAGCTAGTGAGCCAGGATGAGCAGTAGAGGGAAACGGAGACAGACGGGTAGTTCAACTGCCGTGTGCCGCCGTCTAGAAGAATCTAGATGCCAAGCAGTTTCTAGACACCTAGTAAATCCCCTAAATCACTTAGGAGCGGATGGCTTGCACTTTGGGAACCAGAGGGAAAATAGCTTCAATGCCTGACTAGGAAGACAGCAGGAATCCAATTAGTGCCATTGGCCAAGCACACCCAAGGATAGATGAGATTAAGGGAATCAATCTCATTGTGGTCCATCAGCATAAAGTGGATTAATATTCTATTGAGACCCTCCCCTAAAGGCCAGGCTATAAAACCCCTGAGGAGGGGCTGGCGCTGCAGTCGGTGGCGGCAGCGGTGGCGTGAGGACCTGGGGAGAGGCGATCTGTGGTGGTTTCCCTCCTGGGTGCAGCGGGCAACGGCCCCTGGACTCCTCCAGAGTCTTGGCTTTTTCTTTTTCTTTCTTTTTTTTTTTTTTAAGGGCGATTCTCGAGGTTTTAAGCTTCGGGAGGACTGCCCCCTCCTTCCTCCTCTCACCGCTCCCCTCTACTCCTTCAGGATCTGATTTTGCTTTACCCCACCCCCCTTTTACCCCCCAGTCTTGCGGTGACTTGCTTGGGTCACCCTCCGGCGATTTTTTTGTTTGTTTTGTTTTTCCTTTGGTTTTGTTTTTTAGCTTGTTTTCTCGGGGTTGTGTTGTGTGTGGAAATGGCGACCCGGGCAATTACAAACAGCATGCCTAACTTTTACAGATCCGTGATCGAAGACGTTATCGATGAGGTGAGAGACATCTTTTTGGAAGAAGGAGTCGACAAACAGGTCCTGATGGAACTGAAAACCCTGTGGGAGGATAAACTAGCGCAGTCGAGGGCCGTGGATGGATTTCATTCGGAAGAGCAGCAGCTTTTACCGCGAGTTCAACAGCAGCGTCAAACCCAGCAACAGTGGCCTCCTCACCACCACCACCACCACCTGCAAGCTCCACCGCAGCCCGCGGCCCCTCAGCAAGCGCGGCCCCGGCAGGTCCTCATTCCTGCACCGCGGCCAGCTGCCGCGCCACAAGCTGCTGCTGCTCCGGATTCTAAGCTGACAAAGCCCATGAGTGCATCCAACGTGAGTGCTGCTGCTACAGCTGCCATCTTAGCACTCCCTGCTGGAGTGACTCCCGTGCAACACGTATTAACAAGCTCAGGCCAGCTTCTTCAAGTGATCAGAGCAGCCAACGGTGCCCAGTATATCCTCCAGCCTCGGCAGCCCGTGGTTCTGCCGCAGCAGGCTAGACCACCCACGCAGCCTGGCGGAGTACAGCAGGCATCGGCCCCTCTTCCTGGAGGGACTTCGCCACAGACAGCGGTCATCCTCCAGCCTCAGCAAATCGTATTTACCGGAAGTAAGGCTCGAGTTATCGCCACCACGGCGGGGGCTCCCACCCCAGCCCACGCGCGGATAACGGCAGCTGGCCAACAGCCACCGCAGGCCCAGCCTGCCCAGCAACAGGCTCCCTCGGTATTGCAAGTGGATGGAACTGGGGATACATCGTCTGAAGAAGATGGCGATGAAGAAGATGACGACGATGAGGAGGAGGAGGAAGACAAAGAGAAAGGTGGAGCTGAAGGTGGGCAGGTCGAAGAGATGCCCCTCAACAGCGATGACGACGTGAGTGACGAGGAAGGAGAGAAACTCTTTGATACCGAACACGTGGTTGTGTGCCTCTACGATAAGATACACAGAAGCAAAAACAAGTGGAGATTTCATCTCAAGGATGGCATTATGAGTCTTCAGGGAAGAGATTATATATTTTCCAAAGCCTTTGGAGATGCAGAATGGTGAAGCGTTGGTTCTTTGCTTTTATAAATAAGATGAAAGAAACTTTAAAAAAAATTAAAAGGGACCGTTTGACACTTGGGACATACGCCAACCAAAACTTAACTTCTGCATGCCAGAAAAAGTGCTGTGGAAGCAAAGCTACCGGAACAAAGAGGCCTTGACAGCACAGACACTACTTCTAACGGGCGAGCCATGGAACTGCAGCGCCTGGGGTTGCTGGGGATTTTGGGGTTTTGTGTAGGAAAACCCTAATTGTCCATGTTAAATACAGGTGCCTGCCACTGGTCATTAGCATGTAAAGCTTTGTCTGTATTCCTTCTTCCGCCTTGGGTTCAATCAGAAAACACTTGTTAGAATGAAATAAAGAAACTTCCCTTTTGATAGGCTGAAACGAAACTGCTTATTGTATGTGGTTCTATTTGGTGAAAATTGCACGTGTGCTTTTTTATTTATTTATTTATTTATTTATTTATTTATTTATTTTTTAATATATTTTGTTGAGAGGAAGGGAGAGAGATAGCTAGAAACGTCGATGAGAGAGAAACGTCGACCAGTTGCCTCTTGCACACCCCCTACTGGGGATGTGTGCGAAACCAAGATACATGCCCTTGACCAGAATTGAACCTGGGATCTTTCAGTCCGCAGACCGATGCTCTACCACTGAGCCAAACCGGTTTTGGCACATGTGTGCTTTGTACAAGAGGGCAAGGATTATGGTGCTGAATTAAAAAAAAATATATATATATATATATATATATATATATATATATATATATATATATATATAATTTGATTTTTTTACAGAGAGGAAGGGATAGGGATAGAGTTAGAAACATTGATGAGAAAGATCAGCTGTCTCCAGCTGCCTTACTTAGGTGGACCCGCCACGAGCCAGGTCCCCTTTCCCGTAAGTGTCACGTGGACCAATTACAAAAAAAAAAAAAAATCTGCTTTTTGTAATTTTTCACTTTCCTGACTCTCTCAAGCCCCCATACCCTGACCCCCGAGCCCCACCCCCCATTTTATTCTCCCTTTAAAAACACCCAGTTTCACCTAACCGGTGTGGCTCCGTGGCTGAGTATTGACTTGTGAACCTGGTGATCAAAGTTGGATTCCCGGTGAAGGCACATGAGGGCAGGATCCCCAGTGGGCGGCATGCACAAGGCAGCCGATCAATGCTTCTCTGTCATCATTGACATTTCTCTCTCTTTCTCCCTTTCCCTTCCTCTCTGAAATCAATAAAAAAATATACAAAAAAAAAGACATCCAGTTTCCTCTGAGCATTTTATCCTTTGCCCTGGATAAAATTCATCCTCACCGCCTGAGCTAGTGTCTGGCTGTGTTCATCTAGGACACTGTCCTTTCTCTGCACAGGACTCGCCCCTCAGAGCCCCGCTAGGAGTTGGGAGACAAAGGCACTTGGCAGGCGTCCCTGGCTGGAAACCCCCAAAGTTAGCAGGCCGCCTAGGCCTGGGGCCACTTCCCCTTTCTCTCCAGTCCGGGGCTACTGTCATGGCCTCCTGGTGCTGGGGCAGCCTTTTCCTATGATTGGTGCCCCAAGGCCTGCAAGAGGGAGCCTGCTGGGGACATCCCCGAGCCCCCCTGGGCCTGGGCCCTCACTATCCCGCTCCCAAGGTTAAGGATCCAGCTCCAAGGTCAAGGGTGACCATCTCTCGGGGGAGTCAGGACCTGACTCTGCAATCAGGCACCAGGTCAGGGCCCTCCCCCAGCGGCAGGTCCCCCACCCAGGAGTCTGGATCCCCACGGAAGTGGGAGACCACCCCCCCCTAAGTCTGGATCCCCCCCAAGTCTGGACATCCCCATCTCCAGGTCGGATCCTGCCCCACAGCACAGAGCTCCCTCTCCCTCGGTGAAGCCTGGCTCCCCTCCCAACTCCTGCCCTGAGACACCCCCCCAAACCCCCAAAGGTCGGACCCCTCCATCAGGGTCTGAACCCCCCACCCCTCCAACCGAATCCCCAACTCCACTCCAGAGACACCCCCAACCCGCCCTCCTCACCCCCCACCCCAGGTCGCAGCGCCCCCGCCCGGCCCGGACCCCGGCCGGGGCACCAGGCGCGACCGGCCGCGCGCACTCACCTCACCCGGCGGCGCAGGCAGCGCAGCGGGCAGCCCGGCCCGAGGCCCCGCGGCGATGGCGGCGACGGCGGCGACAGCGGTGCTGGCGGCGCTGCGGGGCTTCTTCGGGCGCTTCCGGTGGCGGCCGCAGGCCCCGGCCTTGGCGGGCGGGGTGCGGGGCGCGGCGCGGAGCGCGGCAGGTAGGGCGGGGTCCCCGGGGGAGAGCCGGCGTCCTCCAGCTGCCGCCGGGCGCCCTCGGACCCTGTGCAGACGGAGGAGCTGCGGGAAGCCCGCCCTGCAGCGGTGCTGCCGGGGCGCTCCCTCCCGCTGCCCAGGGCTAACGGTGGGCCCGGGAGGAGGACCGCCCAGCTCCTGAGGTTCCCAGGGGCCGTCCCCTCCTGCACAGCCCGGCGGCCACCCCCTCCCCGGGGTCCTGGCGCCCCACCCACCAGGTTTTCAGAACAGGCACCTGGGGGAGTCCGGGAGGGGTGCCAGGGAGCCGGGAGTGGGGGGCCCCCCAGCTGCTCTGCAGGTGCCCTGGGCAGGGGTCCGGATTTGTGTTCAACTTCCTGGAGCCACTAAGGGACACTGACCAAACCAGGACCGTGATCACAGACCCACACGTGCCACCAGGGCCTGAGCAGGGGCTGGCTGCTCAGGAGGGTGTGAGTGTGTGACTGAGTGTGCAAGGGCCTGGGCAGGGGCCCGGGGAAGGATCCTTCACGGATTTGGGGCTGCGGGAATGGAGTGGTGGGCCCTTGGCCATGGGGGCTGGAGAGCAAGGACTGACTCTGCGCGTGTAACTGGGCAAACAGGGACTTCGTGGCCTTGGGGAACCCGGGAGGCCAAGGAAAAGCTTTGTAAACAGGAGCTGCCCCAGGGTTCAGTTTGTTTTTGTTCTTTTAAAGGAGAGGGTCACACCAGTGGCCTTGGGATGGAGTCTTTAGTTTCCAGTCAGGCAGGAGGCAGTGCACCAAGAATTCTGCCCCCTCCCCCCTCCAGCTGTGGTGAGGAGCAGGTAGGGCCAACCCCCAACAAAGACACCTGGCCAGATGTTACACCTCCTCCTCCGTGCCAGCCTCGCGGTGTGCCTGAGAGGAGAAAGGTGCCTGCTGTGTCCCAGGCGTGTGGGGACACTGTCCCGAACACCTATTGCCAGGGTCTCCCCGAGGAAGTGCCCCGAGCTAGCGGGCACACCCGTGGGCCCCTTGCCCCCCTCCCAGGGCGGCACGCTGTTCACTCAGCCTTGCCACGCTTGCTGGGCCCCTGTCAGAGAGGAGCAGAAAATTAAAGGGCAATTTGCCAAAACCGGTTTGGCTCAGTGGATAGAGCATCGGTCTGTGGACTGAAAGGTCCCAGGTTCAATTCCGGTGAAGGGCATGCACATTGGTTGTGGGCACATCCCCAGTGGGGGGTGTGCAGGAGGCAGCTGGTCGATGTCTCTCTCTCATCGATGTTTCTAGCTCTCTATCCCTCTCTCTTCCTCTCTGTAGAAAGTCAATAATATATATATATATATGAAAATTAAAGGGCAATGGGCTCAGAACGCCATGGCCAGACAGACCTTCCCGGGCCAGCCCTGCCTGCTGTGCCTGGCCGAGGTGGGGAGGGCGAGGCTGTGAGGTTCATGAGTGGATGTGAGGCAGCCCAGGGCCTCTGGGGAACCCTGCAGAGTGGCTCCCACCCCGTCCGCTCTGGGGTCCTTCTGGGTCAGTCCTCCCCAGCGAGCTATCGAAGCCTTCCCCTGAGTGTAGAGGCTCCCACTTACCAAAGGCTCGCTCCACTGTGGCTTCTTCCAAGTGGTTATCGGGCTCGGAGGGCTCCTGGGCGTGCACAGTGAGTGGGGAGAGCAAACCGCCAAAGATAAGCCCGTAATCCACATGGCCAGTTGCTCTTCCTGCCCTCTGCCTGGTAACTGGCCGGATAAAGTGGGGCGGGTGGGGTGGGGGGCACCGGGCGGAGAGACTCAGCGGAGCACCTGCCATGGAAGGTAGGGGTGTTTTACGGGGTAAAGCCTCCCCCTGTCACCCCCCGGCAGGCAGCCGGAGCGGCAGGCCTGAGCTCCTCATCCGGAGGTAGCTTTTCTCCAACAGCAGTTGGTTTGGGGTTCTCTAGGCTCCTGTGGAAGCCGTCCGAGGGACTGACAGCAGGCGAAGACCTCGTGAGAATCCTTGAGTTGCGTTTGGAATTGGGTCCCCTTTGGACCGGCTGTTTGAGCGGAGTTGTGGCTCCATTCGATGATCCCTAAGAACCTGTCGGTGCATCTCAGGTGCCTCCTGCTGGAGGGAACCTGCACGACCCTGCTGCTTGGCGGGCACAGCGGCGGGTCCCCCTGGGCAGGCTGCCTGCAGGCCGTGGACCGAGGGCCTGGGCACAGCTCTGGGCTGCTCCTCCCCAGGCTTCCTCAGCTGCATGCAACCCAGGGCTTCCTCTGGCCCGAGCTGCTGTGTCCCTGAGGAGCTTGGGCCCCGGCCTGGGGCCTGTGGGGCATTACTGAGCTCAGGTCCCTGAGGGGTCCGGGCGCTGCGTGTTTTCTCCACAGCCAGGAAGGTTACGTGGCTGCAGAAACAGCCGCACTCTCCTCGCCGAGAGGCCCAGGCTCGGAGGCTCCCTGGCCTTGGGTAGTTATCAGACCCACGGACTGATCATTTCCTATCATTTCTCCCTTCCTGCTGCTCTGGGCTCACATGGGAGCCATTAGAGTCACTGACAGCCGTTTAAGACTCTTCAGAGGCTTTGATCCTGTGCCTGTGCTGGGTATCCCCAACCTGGGCCTGGGTTAGAGCTCTCACAGGCTGGCCATCCCTAAGGACACCCCTGTCCTTGCCTGCTCACTCCATTCCCCTTCTCCATGTCTTCTTTCCCGCTGTCTGTCTGTCTGTCTCTCTCTCTCTCTCTCTCTCTCTCTCTCTCTTTTGTTGATGCTTGGCATAAAGTTTTAATAGACAAAATTTTGTGATAAATCCAGCTGTCATTTTCTTGCCTAATAACAAAGATCAATTTTGCATTTATTTGGCTGTCTCTTGACTGCCTTCTACGTCAGTAGTTTGCAGAAGAGGCGAGCAGTCCTCTGTGCTGGGCGCGGGAGTGGGGGCCGCGTGCTGCCTCTGAGGTGACACCACAGTGAGCCCCAGAGACATTTCAGGGAGGAGCCTGTATGTGCCTTTGCCCAGAATCGAACCCGGGACCCTTTGGTCCACAGGCTGACACTCTGTCCACTGAGTCTGTGCCACTTTTTTTAAAATTTTTTTTTAAATATATTTTATTGATTTTTTTACAGAGAAGAAGGGAGAGAGAGAGCTAGACACGTCAATGAGAGAAACATCGACCAGTTGCCTCTTGCACACCCCCTACCGGGGATGTTCCCGCAACCAAGGTACATGCCCTTGACCGGAATCAAACCCAGGACCTTTCAGTCCGCAGACCAACGCTCTACCACTGAGCCAAACCAGTTTCGGCCAGCCTGTGCCACTTTTAACCAGGCAGGGCTGCTTGCCCTTTGGAAATGATGTGTCTCCTTCTGGGATTGGTGCCCCAGGCTTGTCCTGCCCTTCCTTCTTACCCCTGTCTCCTTACTCCAGCAGGACGACCGGACTACGACCTCCTGGTGATTGGCGGGGGATCCGGCGGGCTGGCCTGTGCCAAGGAAGGTCTGTGCCCTGTGCCCTGTGCCCTGCTGGTGTCACTGAGTCTCCAGTGCCCCCTGGAGTAGGTGGTGGTGTTCTCAGGGATGTGCCCTGAGAAGCCATGAGCAGCATTCATTGTCTCCACAGCTGGCCTCCAGGGTCCTGTCACTCTGCCGGGATCACCCCAGCAATCTTGCCACCGTGCCCTGCTCCCCACTGTCTGTCCCTCTGCGGGTGACTGTCTTTTTACATAAAGATACTGGTCATATCGTATTAGCGCCTACCCACATGACCTCACTGTACCAGCCCAGCCCCGGAAAGACCCTGTCTTCAAGGACATTCTGAGATTCTGGGGGTCAGCACGCCAATTTGGGAGGGACACAATGCAGCCGATAACCACCCTCAAAGTTTCCTCAAACCCCGGGAAGTCCTCCCTGCCCCCCCTCCCCCTGCGTCCCCCGGCAAGCCCCGTCTGTGTTCTCTCCCTGTACATTAGTTTGCATTTTCTAAAATTGTGTGTAAGTGGAATCATGCTGTATGTACTCCTTCCTGGCTTCTTTCACGTAGCAGGATTACTTTGAGATCTATCTATGTTGCTGTATATATCCACAGTCCTTTCTCTTTTCTTGTTGGTTAGCATTCTGTTCTATACATATCACATTTTGTTGGTTCATTCGCCTGTAAATGGACATTTGGCTTGTTTCTTGTTTGGGCTATCGTGAACAGTGCTGCTATGAACTGTGTGTGTGTGTGGGGGGGGGGGAAGAGGGATATATGTTTGTTTTTTTAAATATATTTTTATTGATTTCAGAGAGAGAAGGAGAGGGAGGGAAGGAGGGAGGAAGGGGGAGAGAGAGAGGGAGAAACATCAACACATTGACAGCACTAGGCTTGCTGAGTGTCTGGGGGTGGGAGGCGAGGGGGAGCTGGGCCCAGAGGAGGGTCCCGCCTGTGGGCAGCACAGCTGGGTGGCGGCAGGCAGTGGGAGACCCAGGTGCAGAGCTGGTGGTGCCCCAGGCCCTCGTCCTTTCCCACCCTCTTCTGGGTCCCATAGGCTCCTGGGGTCCCAGCCCCAAACCAGCTCCCAGTTGTGCCCACCTGCCCTCTCCTCTTGTCATTGCAGCCGCTCAGCTGGGAAAGAAGGTGGCCGTGGTAGACTACGTGGAACCGTCCCCGCGAGGTAGGCAGCCCCCAGCCGGGGCCACGTGTCCCGGGGAAGTGGGCAGGGAAGGGCAGTTCCTGGTACAAAGGGCAGCTGAGCCACCAGGCGCTCTGCTTGCCAGAGTCTCCACAGAGGGCCCTGCCTTCCCTGTAAACTGCCATTCCTTTAAAGATCCTCGTCCTTATGTAAGAACGACTCTGGCCCTGGCTGGTATACCTCAGTGGTTAGAGTGTCGGCCTGTGCTCCTAAGGGTTGCAGGCCTGATTTCCGGTCAAGGGCACGTACCTGAGTGGCAGGTTCGAGCCCTGGCCCAGTCAGGATTAACAACAAAACCACGC